ACCCCTGAATGTTGATGCACTTGAGTCGACTTTCCGAATCTCAGATTACCTGCAGAATAATGGCATTGAAGGATTGCCGGCAGGTTCATATCCAACGGCGATAGACGCCAAATATCAGTCGCCATTCGCATGGACGCTTAAGAAGAAAACCACGGTACTGTTCGGAACATTCATTGCTTCTACGCTGGCAGCATATTCTGCAGGCGGATACGCCATGGCTTCAGAACCCTTGACCCAGAAATGGGACATCTCAAATACAGAGTTCAACGTGGGTATCACGCTTTTCGTCCTCGGGTTCGGCTTCGCACCAATGATCCTTGCCCTGATCAGCGAGATCTACGGTAGATACTGGGTTTTCGTTGGCTCAGGCGCGGTCTTCTTCTGCGGCACTCTGGGTTGTGCAATCACCGCATCTTTTCCAGGGATGCTCGTATCACGGCTTATTGTTGGCAACGGCGCATCAGTCTTTGCTACCCTGACCGGAGGGGTTGTAGGCGATGTCTTTCACAAGGAAAATCGCAACACGCCAATGGCTCTGTACTCTATGTCCATCATGATTGGGACTGGCCTCGGACCCATGATGAGTGGAATCATCGTCGACCATCTTCACTGGAGATGGATCTTCTACGTACAGATGATTACGGTCGGATCAACTACGTTGGCTCTTTTCTTCTTCTTTGATGAGACAAGAAGCAACGTGGTATTGAGGAAGAAGTGCATTGCCTTGAACAAGCACTTCGCGGATATCATTCTGCATCGCACAGCATCATCGACCACTGCAGATCGACCTATGCTCCAGTCAGAACTCCAGCCAAGCATGGATACTCCCGTTCGGGTTCAATTTCGGGAACGTTTTGAGGGCCCAGAACTCGATTTAAGCATCATATGGCGGAGCTTCTCGTTTCCCCTCAAGCTGCTCTTCACGGAATCGGTTGTCTTCTGGTTCTCGGCCTGGGTATCCTTCGCATGGGCAATTCTCTTCATGCAATTCAACAGCATCGGCCTCGCATTTCGGTCTACATATGACTTTAACAGCAGTCAGGTTGGTGGTGTTTACACCGCTGTCGTTGTCGGATCAATCTTAGGCGCCGTCATCACCATCTTCCAGGACCCAGTCTTCAGGAAGCTCATGCCTCGCCAGATGGCCAGTCCCGAAGGCCGGTTGTATTCTGCCTGCATCGAATCCTTATTCCTTCCCATCGGACTGTTCTGGTTCGGCTGGAGCACTTCAAAAGCCATCCACTGGATCGTCCCAGCCTTTGCAGTTGCGTCGGTTACGATTGGTATCTTCACGATCTACCTAGCGGTATTCAACTATCTCGCCGACATCTATCATCGTTACGCGTCGTCTGCTCTTGCAGCCCAGTCGATGTGTCGGAATCTGTTGGCTGGTGTGTTCCCCCTATTCACGAACACCATGTTTCAGAAACTGGGCTTTGGGCCAGCTGGTAGCTTGCTGGGCGGGATTGGGCTGCTGTTGTCCCTCGTTCCGTGGCTGCTGTGCATCTATGGGGAGAAGATCAGAGGTCGGAGCCCGTTCGCTGGTCAACTCAAGACTCCTTAAATACAGCATCCTTTCTTTCACGAGGTTCACTAAGTTCACGAAACAAATGCAAAGTCTAGATCAAAGTAATGGTAACATAATGGATATGACTTTTTTTATTCAGGCGAGTGCGTATCTGTCCCTGCTTTTTCTTCCACTTTTGCTGTTTCCACCGCCCCCGAAACCTCTTTTTCGAGGCCTTACTTGGGGCAGTTTGCAACATTCGAAGATCCGGGTCCATTCCTCGTGCAGGCTTGTCCTGCCTTGTTGGCGCAGCTGCCAGAGGTGCAGAGCAACTTGACACCGCTTGCGTTCTCCTGGCACTCTCCCTTGGCGGTGCACTTGCCCTCTTGAGCCTATAGAGAAATCGCAAATTAGCTTCTGTTTTGGCCTGAGCCACATCAATTGCGCAGTTAACTTACCATGACCGTGGTCGCAAGACCAAAGATGGCGGCAACGAACAGCTTGTTGATCTGCATTGTGGTGCGTTCTTGTGTATTTGTAAAGAAGAGTTGAATAGTGGAACTGATGTGATTGCTGCCGACCAAAGACTTCGCAGACGGTAGGTAGGCAAGATGCGACTATTTGTAGCATTTCCTTGGGCATAAAGTTGGACCTATTTTTACCCACAATATAGCTGTGACGAAACCTCCCGGTTAAGGTTCGAAGATCGACAACACTCTTCATTCGCGTGTGGGCTGTTCATGGTCCCGGCTTGTCGGCGGCCCCGAGACACCCGGCGAAGAATCCCTATAGGGCTCAATTCATAAAGAAGCTTGCCCATCACAAGACATCATTTGCGATACTGCTTGAGTTCGACAATTGTTCTCATGTGTCGGTTACAGCTGCAACGTTTCTACTCAGCCCGGTAAAAGTTTCCGGGTGAAGCAAACTGAAACCGGTCATGGCCGATCAGGCCAACCATGAACGCTCAAGAACAGCTGCTGGGACCCCAGTAACAGATCAGTCCAGAACCTTATTCAGTTGAGATGAAGGACATGCGTGTGAAGTCCGGAATTGAAACCGAGTGTGCACACGATGTGCATCGAAATACTTCACCTGGACACATGCGATGCTATTGCATCTTTTGTTTGGAGTAACTTCATCGGAGACGGATGTTTCATGACACGCTCACTCTTGAATGAGCATCATTGGAGGGAGAAACGAAACGAACTTGCACCGTCGAGCCGGCGATGGCACATGATAGCGGCATCTCGGACGGTTGTTAGTCACGAGATGAGACGTTCTTCGGCAACTGTGAATTCGGAGGCCGCCAAGCTACATGATGGCAAGACTCCTCCAAGTTCAGAGGCCGCAGACTTCTGACGTATCATTACGCCCGTCTTCAGAAGCTGATTACTCATAACACCGTCCCTTATGTCGGCATGAGCAGCTTTCCTGACGGAAGGGCGGATTTATTAGTTTTGATGGCAGACATGCGCTGCGCGTTTGCCTTTTTCTTGGTTTGGTAGCGTGGGATACAAAGAAACTTTCACCCATCTTTCTAGTCTGGACGCTACCATGCTCTGTAAGCTGGACATTTCAACGTGCTAAAGAGGCTGTATGATTATAAAGTATGAGAATGAGGAAAAGATGAAAATGGCTTCATATGACGTACAGCTGCCCCGACATCTGAAAACAATGCCATTTACCATAATCAATTCATATTACATGGCCCGGACTGATTTAGGTCGAAGGCCATGAGGTCGACTTTTGGGAGTCTTCCCAGCCTTTGCGGTGGACTGACAACTATTATGTAGAGCCTGACCACAACGTAAGTAACAACCCTGGTGGTCAATCCAGTGATTGTCAACTTGATAATGAAACGTGTCCAGAGTCCCAGACCACCGAACAAACCTACTTTTCAAAACTTTCTTCTCTACAACTACACGAAGTCTGGACTGATTCTCCCCATGTCGAATTTACGACACTCTTTCCACCCCATATGATCCCTTGGAATCATTGATAAATAATATCGGAATTTTCCTCTATGGACGGCTTGACAACGGGTCAATGTTGCCAAAGAAATGAATCAACTACCAGTAGAACTCATGGTCAAAATTGTCGATCTTCTGGGCGTGCGCGGCATGCTTGCGATTAAAAGAACATGCCGTGGTTTCTTTCAAATTCCAGTGGACGACATTTACAGACGAGCCGTTGAGGAGGATCTCCCCCATTTTCTTCCAGGACCTTGGGAATACGTATTGATTAAAGATACTTCGGTCACGCCACACATACTTCGGGCAGCTGCTGTCGGCAATCTTCCAATTTTGCGCGAGCTCGTCAACCACGGCGCTGACCTTGGGATGTATCTCACCCCGGGATGTCAGCACAATCCTCGACTAAACGTTCTATCAGGTGCAACCCCACTGCATATTGCTGCGCAGAACGGGCAAAACGAGTGCGTGGAATATTTGTTATCTTTCAAAAGCGTTGCTGACGACATCGATCGCGACGGCTTCTATTGCTGCATGTGCCCATTGAAAAGACACCTGGCATCTGAGTACTTGATGACAAGTGACTTATCATCGAGTTTGAGTCTAGCGATTGCCCATCTGCACACCGACACAGCCCAGACGTTGATCAAAAACGGTGCAAACTGGAATGAAATGTCCATCGCAAGCAATGCCTCCCCTTTATCACATGGTAACGAGCGGAGCTACTGCGCTGATACGGTACACTTCTAAGTTGAGACGTGAGAAGCAGCAATACTGGCCTTTGTCTTGCTGCCAGCGATGGACTCTCCTACAGTGGGCTTCATATTTCAAGGGAGAAAGGGAAGAAATCAAGCAGCTCGTAAGCGCATTGATCAACGCCGGAGAAAAGCTGGATACACCCAACAAAGACAGGCGGAATTCGGAAGCCGCGCGCAGTTCCTTGCATTTCGCAATTAGAACAGGGAATATTCGTCTTGCAACAGTTTTGCTAGAGGCTGGTTCGTACGCGGGGATAGACTGCGACAGACAGGCGGTATACGAGCATTGGCAACATGATGGTACACGTTCAATACCGGTGCATGTCATGGCTCCCATGCCACCGCCAGGGTGCGAGATGTGGCCTCTGGCACTTTTCAACTTCATGTGCGACACGAAGGCTGACGTAGGTAGAAGGCGGCCGGTTGGTGTAAGCGTAGAAGATTACTCTCGCTGGAGGAAAGGGTATCGAGACACGAAGGAGTACCGTCTTAAAATGGAGAGATTTTGGGGCATTCCTATAGAAGAGTTGGACTACTTTCGAGCCTTAATCGAAGCACGTGTAAGACCTTAGCTGGCACTCGATGTATGCGAAGTCGCTCCAAACTGGTATCATGAATTGGATACAATACATCTAGCTTTTGATGCCACCTCACTTTAAACGTTTCATCCAAACGTCCTAGCAGTGTAATGACAATATGCCGCTTAGCGGGACGTATTTATCAGATTGAGAAATTGAATTTAGGAGACCAAATGATCATATCTTAAGCTGAGGGGCATGAAATGACTTTCGTAGGTGATTCGGGACAGTATCCTGCCCAATACGAACGTGTTGCCTTCTCGCAGTTATTCGGGTCGCTTGCGTCGCTGCTTGGAGTCAATACGTGTGAAGGAACACGGCGGCTATTCAGGCTTTGCACTTACCGGTCGACCTGCAGCATGCACCATGATAGAGTGTCCAAGAATTGACCTGACGTGCCGTTGGTTCTAAAAACCAGCTTATTGATGTCCTGGGAAGAGTCAGTCTTGTGATCCCGGCTCGACGCTTGTTCTTCAACTTTTCTCACCTCGGTTTCGTAGCAGCATTCATTATTTTGTCTTGTTTGGATGTCGACGGGACTAGCAAGTGCCAATAATGGTGCCAGGAATAGGGCGAATTTGATAGAGAGCATTTTGGCGACTGAAAGCAACTTCAACGAATTGGATAATCGCTGTCAAATGGTGCAATGATGGGTTCAAGAAGATGATGGAGCAGTGTAACTGAGCCGCTGGTGGGACGATTGCGAGGCCCTAAATATATGATGTTCACTGCTCAACGTGTAGGATTATTTCTCTCAAAGGGTCATCAGGGGCACGAAGTGTCAACTCTATTTTGAACCTGCCAAGTCAATCTAAAATGGGTGAAGCAGGGTAATTCAGCCCTGAGCTACATGCTTGGCTCTGCTAATCACGGTCGATCGCAACCCTGTATTTGTAAGACTCCATGGTAAGCTCTTAAGCGTTAACCGAACTTCCTGCGGATTGACTGGGGAGGCCTGCTGTGCCTCAGGAGCTTTGAGTTTTGGCATAGTCATGTACGTGGAACCTGCGCATGCTTGGGATTAATTGCGGGCGATCAGGCGACCTTCCAAGCCGTCCTATTTTGGAATTTGGGACGAACTCCTCCGCCCCTACTTCAGATGACAGCCGGCTTATCCGCTGATTACGCCGATGTTTACTGTTCTCTTCGTTCGTGAATAATACAGCGCGTCTCAATTAACCTTCAGTGCGTGGTGGCGGTAGACTGCCACGGTTACCCCGCATCATGCACTAAAGCGTCCATCGCAGTCGCCAAGTCGATATTAACGCTGGTAAGAACATGTCCAAAATGCAGATACTTGTCAACATGCACATACTACTCATTAGTACGGAGCACATATGGTAATAGTATGCGATGTTATTGTATGATGATTGGAATGGCCCTCAAAAGTGCTTACTTACTCTTCCAAGCGTAGCTTAGAAACCCCAATAACCCTTGACCAAGAAGGCTCCATATCCAGCAATGGCACTCAGAAGCCCAACACTGCCAAAATAGCCAATGGGCCTGCCGCTGCCGAGTCCCTGCTGCAGGATACCGAAATCGGCATGCAGCACGCGCATGGCCAGGAAGCTGCCGAGGAACCAACTCAGCACCTTACGGTTTCCGCCATTGACCTCCACCAAAGTAGCGAGTATGAAAGCCAACGGAACGTTCTCGGTGAAGTTGGTATGCGCACGAGTGAGGAGGTACAGTTTGTCGTTCTGGTAGGCGCGCCAGTCGGCGCTGCCAGTCGATGAGTTGTCCCCGAGGTAGTGCTCCTTTTGCAGACGTTCGCGAACCGTTCGTAAGCTGAGCAACGCGTAGTACGCAGTGAAAGGGAGTGCGAAGGTTCCCGTCACAGCTGTTCGTCGAGGGGTCAGGTCAGTGACTGGTCTCGGAGCTAAACTTGCATGTCTTGATGTGTCACTCACGGAGCAGCTTCGGGATCGTGGTCAGGCCAATTGGTTGAGAGCTCATGATTGCGGTAGAAATGCGACGGAATTGAGTGATTGTTTGCGCATTTCGTGCGTCTTCAATGGTTGCTTAAATGGCAGCCAGACATCCGGCAAATAATCTAGAGACCGAGGTGATTTGAATGCTTGACGCGACTATCTGCGGGAATGACGATCTTCCGCTGCTAGCGCCAGATGCTATGACGCCTTTGACATCATATGCGCAAGCTACCGCCAGATCCGGATCGGTGGACCAACGAAGCTGGAATAATCTTCTGGTCAAGGCTTTGTGGTTTGAACCGCATGTTCCAGGATGCAAAAGTCCACAACGGAGGCACTAGGTATGAATATCAGTACCAAGTTTCTTCCCTCAAGAACATGCGAATCTGACGAGCACACCCTGCCCCAATTATAGACATCATACTCAAGGAAATGAGCTGAAAGAGTAGACAGAGTACTGATGAATTAATGAGTGAATTATGTCTGCTCTCACCTCGTCTCCGTGGTGAATTAATTGCCCTCTAGAGGCATCAAATGAGTGTTCCTTGAGCCATACCAGGCCATTAAACTCCTACTTATGCCATGCAATCTCAAAAACCAGTTTGGACGCCTCCCATATGCAATTCGAAACGGCGCATTAACAAAATCCTTTCACGTTCTCTACTCAAAGACTGGAGCGTTGCACTCGACATTGAAGCTGACAAAGCTAGCGTCACCGTCAGGTACATTCGCGCATTCCTTGACGGAGACAACTTGAGCAACTCCGCCGCAGTTCTCCTCTGTGTACGCATACACTTGGATATGTTAGTTACAGTATGGAATGCAAGATACAAGGCTTAACTTACTCGTGCACGTAGTCTGGTCATCGGTTTGAATGTCGTTGAGGAATATTCCCTTTACTACTTGGGCGTTGAACGTCGGTTGACACTGGTTGGTCTGGGATTCGTTGATCGTCCAAACACCTAGGTTTCCTTCATTTGAGCCATTTTGGCCGCAGCCCGTTTCGCTCCAGATGCGAAAATCGGCTCGGTGAGGGTCGTCTCGGCGCATGGGACTGGCCTGAGCTGCCAAAGATAGGCTGGCGATAGAGAAGAGGGTAGAGAAACGCATTTTGGTGATGGTTGATATAACGAGTCTTAACGGTTGTATTATCTCGTGTTGGTCGATTTTGTGATTGAATTGTGGTCTGTATATCTTGTGACGGTGAGAGGTTGAGAGGAGGTGGTGTGATGGAGAGTAGCAAGAAGTAGATGGCAAGTGGGGAGACGTGTACGCTTTATGTATTCGTCGACCACAGGATAGCCCTTGATCAATCATCAACTGCTCAAAATAGAACGTGTTCGAAGGTACTATCATACGCGTCGCTGGATTAGCTGATGGCGAAGTCTTCACCGACAGCAAGCGGTCTCGCCAAAAATACGAACGATCAGCGTGACGAGGATTTAGGTCTCACATAGGTCTTACTCGGATGTACCCACCCGTAATCCGCAGCAAACATTTCTTTCGGGCATACGATGATGCGGTGCAACCAGAAGCCTGCAGACCGCCTCGTCGGGACGTCCGGCAATGGTGAAATTTCCAATATTGCTTTGACGTGCTGCAGAAGAGAACCTTTTCGATTAGCCAGACGGGGCTCGGAGGTGGTTGCAGTAGTCTAGGGGAGGAGGACAGGAAATCTGGGGTCTCAGATATTCTCCTTCCGTCCGTGGAAGACCCCGCAACACGAGACGGATTTCCACGAGTTGATCGACGAGCTAGACTAGCACGGAGACGTCACTGGTCAGTAGCACATGCCACCTCCATCTTGGGGCGTTCTTTGATCGCCGTCGTATTGCGCCCCAAAGCTTGAAAGCGGCACTGGTCGGTACGTACTTGTGCAACGTCACTTCCACTGCTGCATCGACGCATAGAGCGCAGAACTTTTGTACAATGTTTCCATGCATGAGTTTTGCAGGTCTCGGTCTGGCCACCGACTCGTGATCATGCAACTTCGTATCGAGAAGTCCACCCGCAAAGAACAGCGAACAGCTCCTAGGCCACGGTCATCCCAGCAAGCGACTGTGTGAGCTTAGCCACGGAGGTAGTATGTCCAACCGGTGTTCCTTGTTCAATGACCGAGCCGAAAACGCGAAAGCAAGATCAGACCATTTTGCACCGTGTTTGAGAACAATGTGAAGATCAACTCGGTTCGTAGTGAAGACATGAACGCCTATTTTGTATACACTAAGTTATTTCTATCCTACTACTTCTAACGAAACCAACCTAGACCAAGGCTTTTGGCCATTTCCATGCGTTCCACATTTCCATGCGTTCCACTACTTGAAGATATATCGAAGTCGAGGATGGGCAGCCGGACCTCCCCAGGGCCGGAGTCTCGTCAACATCCTATATCTTGTGATCGAATCTTGTAGATAATTATGAAACAAGTTCTCGAAGGTTTCTATGCTGGGTTTGTCAGTTACTGTTGTCTCAACCGTCACGTTTTGGCCCGCTTGTTCTGGCATCTCGTCCAAAGTGTCTGCAACATACCCCTGGACATGCTGCAGGAATTCCAGCAGCGCACAGGAATTACAATTTCTTGGGCAGATGGCGCTCTCCATGTTCTCATTCATTGTTTGCGGAAATATTTCGAGGGCGCATTTGTTTCGTGGGAAGGGTATCCCTGGATAGCGACAGCGGAAGACGCAGTTCTCGAAACAAAGACTTTGCTTGCACATGGGGCACGCCGGATCGCTCTTTGCTTGTTCATTTCCTGGAACAAAGTCATTGACATCAAATCCTTCCCAGCATAGGGCGTACAGGCAGCCTCTGCAGAATATGTGGCCGCATGGGACGACGATTGCCGTGCTTTCGTTCGAAGGTTGGGGTCGACGTCTTCTCAGATCGCGGGCGCTTGTCACGCCATGAGTTGCCGCAAAGCCATCGGGCCGGTGATCATTTTCTGGAAATCCATCTCCAACGATATTCATTTCTTGCCTGCAGATGACGCATGTGAGTTTTAAACCTTCGAAGAGATTGGGGTCAAGACTTAGTTGTCTTCTGACTGGTGGGAAATAAGAGCATCGCTCATCGATAGAGTTCGAAAGGTGCGTTTGGGAAGCCATTCGTGGCGATCAATTGGTTGAGAGATAGAAGAAATAACAAAGTGAGAATAATTGGTGCCTGTCGCTTCTGTTTTTGATGTTGTCGTGACTTCCAATTGCTACCTTAGCTATGGACGTCACCTTTATAAGTAGCTTTCACTTCGCATCGGGCATGAGCATTACTGGTCTCGCCAGAGATTTCAAGACATTAATCTTGTTAGGCACTCTTCTAACATAGGCTGTCAGATGATCATGGTCTAGAGACAAGGGCAGATGTGCCTGTGCAAGCATCATGTGATTCATTGTTCTATAATCAGCCTCGAACAAAGAGTCTTGGTTGTTTAGCACTATTGGAATACACCTTCCGACAATAGAACAGTTATGAATGTTTATTGAGAATTATATGGACCGAAACTCCTTCCGCAGTGGGGGCGGACAAGTGGTTTGTTCATCTTGTTGCAAATTAACTGGTTCGAGACATGTTCTTCCAGCGGACTGTGAGAGACTAAAGGCCAGCTAGAAGGCTTTCATCAGGAGACTGTTCCCAGGTAATAGGTGCTGTAACTGCAGTCAGAGGG